ACGCGATTTTTGAATTAGGAACGATATTTGTATAACGCGAACGCTTGTTTGCTATAACGCGATTTTTGCTTACTATTTCTCCAATTTTGTGGTATTAACTGTGAATATGGTAAAGAAGAATATCTCCAAGAAGCGTTCTGGTGATAGAATTCCCGGTGATGATCGTAAAAGAAAGGATACAACACTTGAAGAGAAGCTCGATTTTATCAACCTCAAAATCACCCTTCTCCCCCATCAAGTTACATTCATATTTTTTCAAGGTAAAGTGTTACATTTACTGTATGATTTCATTATTAGATATGAATGTAACATTTATTTAGACTGTGCTATTCTTTGTGTTAGGCTAACTACTAAATTTTTTCGATTTCGAGTAATCTGCACCTAACCCTATTTTCTCCATAAGCCCTGTTATTTCTATTACGCGATTTTCTATAACACGATATTTTACAAGAACACAATTATCGCGTTATAGCAGAACTACCTGTACAGTACATACAGTACTTCATTTATCGATTTTTACATTAAAGATTCATCACAATAACAACAGTAATGAAATGTGACACCTCTAACACAGTAATGATACATTTCAACACAATAATGATCAGTAGCGCAAGTTGACAGTCACTCTGGGTGCTCATCTTGATGACGTCAGCTAGCGGGGTGATTTGTTTTGATCAAAGTGTGTGAACAGGAGGTGTGGTGTAACCTACTCACCTATCTGTGACGGCATTGTTGATGATAATGTTCAAGATTTACCTGTGTGTGATCTGTTAGATGATTTACCACCAGACTTCACTGACTTTGAGACTGAAGGATCAGTTGGTTGTGGTGCTGGGGAAGCAGTGCAGTGTGGGGGTAGGGGCAGGGAGCCACTAACACCACTTCCCTACCTCCGATGACTGCAAACAGCCACATTAACCCCTACTCCCCCTGCCTAGGGTGACGCCAGCCGTACCCCCCACGTGTGGCAAAAGAAGAAAAATCAACTTTTCCAAATATAATTTTTAACTTTTATAAATGATAAAACTATCAAAAGGACATAAGAAAAACTATATATATTGTCCCTCTCGAAACTTTGTGGCGTCTCAGTGACGAGGGAAATAAGGGGAAAAGTTTTTTTTTGACGGCGAGCCTCGTGGCCACCACGCACTAAGGGGCCATTTTCCCGCTTGCCTTTTGTGTTCAGGATGGCCAATAATGCATATATTTACTGATCATAATACTTATTTCCTACAAATAATTCATTTAGAATGTATTTTTTCCATTATTTTTCATAAAAGTGCTCAGCGACACACACGCAGTCTATTGCCAACTGTCTGGCTGTCTTTGTGTTTGGTAGAGCAAGTAATGCATAAAATAATAATAATTCCACAAATAAATACATTTATAACATAATAACAGCATTGTTTTCCAGTAATACTACAATACAACTACACTACTTTTAGCAATGTTACCTTGAGACAACATGATAAAATGGACAATGAAAATGAAACAAAGACATTCAGGAAGCTTCCTTGTGGCGTGACAGGGGAACCTGATAACCCGCGCTGGGCATCTAAACAGTGGCGGGTAAAGGCGAACATTCTGGAACATCACCCGGGGCGTAAGGGTTAAGCAGTTCAGTGAGTGTCTGAAGGTTAGGTACTTGAGTGGTAGGTTACATTTCTGTTATGCAGTGTTGGCAAGTACAGTACTGGGCATACACTGGCTCCTGAATACAGTGATGTTCCCATTAGCCAGAACAATTGGAGCAGAGCACTTCGGGGAATGAGAGATTTCCGAGTAACGTGACGACTCTCTCAGAGCCGGAAAAAAATCCGTCATCCCCGGAATTTTCCGGGTAACGGAAAAATGTTCTCGGAAGTTCCGGAAATTACCCATTACATCATCTCTTGAACCTGGAAAATATCCCCCATTCCCGGAATTTTCTTAATCTTCTGGGTACCGGAAAAATTTTCCTCGGAATTTCCAGAAAATGCGCCTGATTTTCATCTCTCAAACCCAGAAAAAACTCCCCCACCCCAGGAATTTTCCGGGTATCAGGAAAATTTTCTCAGAATTTTCCGGAAAATGTGCCCCTCGGAAAATCAGTCCCAAAGCTGGCGTTGGTCGAGTCTGGTCTTGAGTGAGTTCACATTCAGTGCCGTCACAACACTCTGGCAGAGTGTTCCAAGAGTTCACAATTCGCACTCCAAAAAAGTATGCCCTCACTGTTTTCTGGACTTGTAGCTTGAGCTGTGACCCCTTGTGGGGCGGACATTCGCCAGCTCCAGGTATGTACATTCAACCGAGTAGGGCCCTTGGAGATGTTTATACACTTTGATTAGGTCGACCCTTACCCATCTGTAGTACATAAGCTAGGCAGTTGCAGGCGCTCTAAACTCTCTGGGTAACTGAGGTTCCGTAGAGCAGGCACCAGTCTGGTGGCCCTCCTTTGGACATTTCCAATCAATTGACAGTCTCTAGCATACCTCAACGACCAGACGGGGTAACAGTACTCCAGATGGGGAAGCACCTCACTCTTGAGATTGTGACGAGCAACGGACCATCCAGATATCTAAACGACCTTCTTATAAGACCTACTAGTTTAGCCACTCGATTTACATTCTTCTTACAATGGCCAGAGAACTTAAGTTCATTGTTGACATAGAAACCCAGGACCTTTTCAACATTTAGTCTCAATTAATGCAGTTTCTTCGTCCTGTTGGGACATGTGATACGTCTCCTTACTGTTGGTGCGACCCTGGTGCATCCTTTTGCACTTCGTGACATTGAATCTTAGCAGCCATTTCTTCGACCATTCTTGAAGCTCAAAGAGATTTTTATGGAGCTCTTCACAGTCTGTTTAGTTCTTAACTTCCCTAAATATCTTGGCATTGTCCATAAACATTTGTATGGAGTGTATAGCTTCTGGCATATCTTTATGAAGCAAACAAACAACAACAGGCCCAATACACTGCCCTATTGTACCCCACTTGTCACGGGTAGGTACACATGACGATTTCATGCCATTAATCAACTCACACTGCTTGCGATCATAGAGAAAGTCTCCGATCCATGCTAGGACACTTCACAAATCCTGTATCCGTCCAATTTAATTCTCAGCCTTTCGTGGGGTACGCTGTCGCAAGCCTTAGAAAAACCTAGGTACACTGTATATTGTTGATATTACCACCTTGTTCTAGAATTTGAGTCCAAACATTCAGTACCTTGAGTAATTGTGTTAAGCAGGATCTTCTCGGCATAAAACCATGTTGGCAGTCCTTTACAAGGTTGTTTCGTAGATGTTCCATCATGGCATTTCTTATGATGCTCTCAAGTACTTTACACACTATGCTGGGCAGGCTCACTGTTTTATAATTATTCGTGGAATGACGATCGCCCTTCTTAACTCACATTACCTATTTTCCAGTCATTGGAGGACCTTTTGTTCATCCAAGCATTTGCAGAACAGGGTTTTAAGGGGCTCTGCAAGCTTGTTTACACAGATCTCTTAACACTCTGGGGGTGTACCATATTAGGGCAAGGACTCTTGTGAATCTTTAGCTTTGACGGTTTATTTCTTATAACCTCATCCAAGAGTACAAAGTGGGTCAGCACTTTGTCAAACCGTCTTTCCTCAAACGCAGGAAGATTGTTCACATCCTCTCTTGTGAACTCTAATGAAAAAACTTTGTTCAGTGCCTCCACCTTATCCTGGTCAGAATCTGCATTACTACCAGCTTCAAGCCTCAGGAGTGATATGCCAAATTGCATTTTTAATTTTGATTTTGCATAAAGGTGAAAAGCCTTTGGGTTTGATTCGACCTTAGTACTTTTGCAACGTGCCTCTTGAACTCTTTTTCAGCTCTTCCACACACTGACTTTGTTTGGTTTCTGGATCTGGCATACAGCCTCCTGTATCACTCAAAGGCAATAAATAATATTGTTAGAAATGTATCTTCATATCAAATACTATACATACAGTATGTTATAGTGACACTGTTGTAAGATTATTTGCTGAAAACTTCCACATGAATGCATCCTGAGTAAAGACTTTCCAATACAGCTTAACCTTTTATTTTGAAGTCATATTACAAATTATATAATGTATTTTTTCTTTATAATTGAAGATGTTATATCAATCAAGATGAACCATAAACCATAAGAAGGCACTCATATGAAAATATAGTACAGAATCAATAAATAAATAATGCTGACGAATGCAGTAACACCTGATCAAGTCCAGCTGCTTACATGTCCTAGTTCCTGGTAGGCTTATAACAAATCTAATTAGACCACTGTATCACTGTCCATGCTAATACAATATTAATATTACTTTTGGGTTAGTAAGAATATAAATTTTGGTGGGTTGGCCTGCAGAAAATTAACTACGTAAATCGAAATGGGGCCCAAGACTGAGGAAAGGTTGCCCATGCCTGCTCCAGGATATTTTTAAGGTAAACAAGATCTCATTTGGGTATTTTCTAATACTGTACAGTATTGTGGCTAAAAGCTTCACAGTTAGTATCAACACAGACATTTGTGGTTTGGATGTATGAAGACATTGGTAACCAGGTCACCTGACTGGCCCAATCAGCTGCTCTGCAGACTTGACTTGCATTTCTTTATACTAATGAAACATATTACAACTGTTATGAAACATATTACAACTGTTATGATACATATTACAGCTGTTATGTATTTCATTACAGTCTTTGTTATAGTTGTAGGTTTAATATATATTGTACTAAGGGTTTGACTCGAGCCTTCAAACTCACTTCCAGCAGGGCCCATTATAAAATAATATACATTTATATATTTTTTTTTATCTTGTCAGTTTTGGGAATTTTGTTGAAAGGATCCTCAACCAATAATAGTCTTTACAGTGTTAGCTACTTTAGATAAAATATTTATTTTTGCTTTTTACTTTCCTAAATTAAATGTAATAATAGTTTTTACAGTATTAACCCTTTAATAACACTCATAATATATAATGTGCTGTACTGTATTTTGCTTACCTTCTAGAGAATTGAGTACATCTTCTAAGCCTCCAATATGGTCATGGTGCCAATGGGTGATTATAATTTTATCAATAGTAGTGTTGTGTTGCTTCAGAACTGACATCAGTGATGATATGTAATCTACATTTCCTTTCTCACCTGCATCTAAAAGAATGCGTCTGCAAATAAAAGAACAACACTCCATACAATCAGCTAAAGGTACTGGAGAGAGAATTAAGATTATGAGTACTGTACTATATAATGTATATTGTATACTGTACAGTAATATGTATACAGTGGTCCATCCAAACAATTTCTAGGTTAAGCACCAAAAGTTGGTTATCATAGATCAGTCAAGAGTGATAAATGTCAACTTCCTGATGGGAAATATAGGACTGATGGTACTTATATTTTTTTATTAAATTCACTAAAATGACATACAGTGAACCCTCACTTTACGCGGTTAATTCAACCCACGGCGGCCCGCGTAAATTGAGAAACGCATAAAGTGAACAACATAACATACTGTATGGGATTAATTGAAATAGAGACTGGGCCGACCCCAAACTCCACTTTTTCAGACACAATACCTACGTTGTAGTAAAAATAACTCCTTAATTTTATGATGGTATGCACACACAATTAATAATTAAGAGAAATATAAATAATATTAGGTTTTTTAACACTTACATTAGTAGAAAAGATGGCTGGGCACACGGAGATGGGGGGTTGGTTCCGAGGCAGAGGGCAGATTATTGGCCCTCACCTGTATCACTTGTATCAATTGTATCACTATCCACCACAGAGGCTTGCAGGGCCTCTTTGTCAAACCCCTCAAAGTCCATAAAAGTCCATATCCTCACTATCATTGACTTGGGCCGGCTGTGGTGGGTGGCAGGTGAAGAACTTGGTAATGTTTTAATGACTGGGCGACCTTGTGCGCACCCTGCTCGCGTCGCTCTCCGCGTAAAAGGGTACACACACCGCGGAAAGTGAGCATTCCGGTTTCGGCAGGGTACCACGTAAACGTGGAAACGCGTAAAGTGGGACCGCGTAAAGCGAGGGTTGATTGTATTAAAAAACATTTATTGTACAGGATTTACATAGAGGTATCCTTCGCTATCTGAATGGGACATGTTCCTTGAAAACATCATATTGAGCGAAGCTTACTGTGCTTACACAATTATTGAAACATTATTTGAAGTGTTTTACCTTAAAAACAGAAAAATGATGGAAAACGTGAACCTGGGCCATTTCTTTATAATGTCACACATCAAGAAGAGGGGTCATAATTATAAGCTCACCAAGTTATCATGCAGAACAAACAAAGAAATACTTCTTCACAGAGAATTCAGCAAGACGACCCATGTTTGACAGCCCATTTGCATCAGCTTTCACACACCTCTCGTCAACGGTAGACCTCTGCTCGTCTGAGGTAACCTACACAGCTATTGTTTCATCCTTCTCGTGGATTTACTTATCATGTCTGCCTCCACAGCATCCTCTAAGAAGGACTACATATACCAAGAAGAAGGGCAACCACCTGAAAACTTTGTCCACTGAACACAAACTGGAGGTGCCAGATCATACAGATGCTGGTATCTCCATGTGTCTACTATAACATCATGTCTTGTGACAGCAATGTATTACTGTATATATAATGTTAAGTGTTATGTATAAAGCGTAGTCTTAAGTTTGCTAGTTCAACAATTATTTACAGTGCCTGTGAAGTGTGCACACAATACTGTACAGTACAGTACTCCCTCTTTATCGACGGATTTTTTATCGACGGTTTCGATTATCGACGGATTATTTAGACGGATTTTTATTTTGGCTTTATTTGAACTCTGCGGGCAAAGTTTGTACTTTCGCCGCTAGGCGGCACTAGTGGCGCAACAGGAGGCAGAAGCTGCCGACACCTCACAACAACAAGACGTAGAAGCTGCCGGCACCTCACAACAACAAGACGCAGTACCTGCCCACACCCCTCAAGAAGATGCAGACCTTGACTCATCATACTCATCTGACTGGTCAGGCTTTTAATAAGCCTCAATCATCACACTTGTATATACTGTACACTGTTTTGTTTACTGTAAGGACCGATGTTCACTTCAATAAATGAAATCGTAAGTTTGCTAGTATTTTTGTCCACTTATTATATTATTATTTATACACTATTATTTAAGGTTATGTGTAAAGGAAACGCATTAATGCTTAAAGGTACATTTATTCAACATATGCTAATAATAGTTAGAAAAATTACGTAACCATCACGGTATCGACGGTTTCTTTATCGACGGCCGTCTACAGAACGTAACCCCCGTCGATAAAGAGGGAGTACTGTACAGGTAAACCTCGAGATATGATATCCCGAGAAGTGATATTCCTCTTTAACGATTGTCATAAATTAAGAACATCTTGCTATATATGATCAAAACAACTCGCTTTAACAATATCAATCAAATAGCCATTGATATCCATTGGTATGTATTATTTTTATCTCTAGTGCAAACTATGGGTTGTATACACTTAAATTAATCGCTATCTTGCAAGAATTCCAGCAATAAATTATATTTTTCTATATCGCCAGTGACATTTCATAAGGAAACAATATTTAACCCTATGCACGACGCATGTCTACCTTCACTTGTAAGCCTACCCACGTGCCGCCACACAGCCAACCCATGCACTACAGCACTGTGTTTGATTCTTTGTCGACCGTAAACCCGCCATCGCACGGCTCCATGAGCAGACACCACTAACATTTAGATTAAACTATGTTATGGTGACTGTGTAGTGATATTGTGACTGTAAGGTCAACACGACTATGTAGTTTTGAAAATAGGAGCAGTGTCGGCCGCCATCATTGTTTGCTCTGTGTTTGTGACTGAGTGAGCAGTGTAACTTTAAAAATGCCTGGGAAGGACAAGGTATCCAAGACAATCTTGTCTCTGAGGTGAAACTAAACAGTCTTAAGCAGCATGAGACTCCTTAGAGGCTGTGTCGGAGTCAGTGACGTCTCCACTCCGCCTACGAGATTCCCCTTAGCCTTGAAGAGGACATGAGATGATGACCAGGCTTATTCTTCAGGATGTGGCGAGTGTTGTTTAATTGTTTTATACTGAAAGTAGTATTGTAGGAATTTTTATGTCAGTGTTACATGTGTGTTTGGAGACTGGCTGGGAAAGTACCCCATGTTATAATGCTCCCTATCTACAATTATTCACCTAGCAATGGGTTTTTCAGGAACCTAACCCCATCATTTCCCGAGATTCAGATTTGCCCCCGAGGGGGCTAGTTTATTGGACACCCCCTTACATCCTGTGCAAGGTGAAGCGCAGAAGCGTTTACAGCGCCCAACAGGGAAGTATGAAAAGTTCATACTTGCCTTTATGACTCGTACATTAAAGGCGTAAAAGCCTGAAGGGTCATAGGTTTTGTCAAGTTACACAAAGTGAGAGAATGATGAGTGTGTGGGGGGAAAGTTCCCGGTACATTTTATCTGTTTATGGCAAAGAGTGGCAGGTCCCTAATAATGTCAAATGCCAGGCCTGTGACTAGGAGGAGGGATATCTGGTCTGGGAGGGAAGAGGTGTTGGTAACGGCTGGGGACCTATAGGAGGAGGTCATAGGGCAAGTGAGGATGTAGTGAGAGAGGGTGTGAGAGTCGGGTTGGCCACAAAGTTTACAAACAGTGCGGTGAGGCTCAGGGTTACCAATGTACTCCCATAGGTACCTGTACCCTAGGCGCAGTCTCATGTATGTAAGCTGTTGAGATCGAGTCAGGGATTGATATTCTTTGTAGTGGCGGTTGTCGTCACCGGTTACAGCGCCATAGTGGCATAGTGTGATGCTACCCCGTTGTTTCAGGTGTATCCAATTTTCGTTGAATGCCTCTCGTTGTGTGGCGTGTATGCGAGATTTGAGATGATTCAGGGAGAGGGCGAGAGTGGCTTCAATATCTTCTTCTTGTGTAGCTTCTTTGGCAAGCCGATCAACAGTGTCACAGGCAGTTATTCCTATATGTGACGGGATCCAAAGAAACCTGACACGGATGTCATCAGTTTGTTCTAGCCCGGCAACGGCGGCTAGGGTGTGTTGGGCGGCAAGGGAGGAGGGGGAGGGTAATTTGAGCCTCGCTAGAGCAGAAGTGCTGTCACTGATTATAAGGAGGTTCCGGCGTTCAGTGCGAGCATAGGTCGCCCCCTCATGAATGCCCGCGAGGATGGCTATGCTTTCAGCATCAGTGGAGGAGGCCCAGTCGTGGACCCTGATTTTCCTGCAGGCCTGGCGCTCAGGAATCCACGCAGCTGCCCCAGCGCTGCCCAGCGTGGTAACAGACCCATCAAAGTAGACGAGGATAGGAGGGTGGGAGGTCTTTAGAGAGGAGGCGACATCATTAATCTGCTCAAGGTAGTTAAGTTTGAGCATATACCTCAGTTGGGTGAATTTACGACCAGGGAAGGTGTGGACGACAACATCAACACACAGGGAGATCCACGGCGGTAGAGGCGGATGAGTGTACCCGGGAGGGAGAGAGGTCGAGGGGGTGTAGAGGTGATAACGCAGGATGTCAGCAGCAGTGTGGACAGGCCAGAGTCGAGAGGGAGGGAGGGGGGAAAGTAATGGGGACAGGCCGGCGCAGGAGGGAGTTAAGATGTGAGTTCAGTGAGCGCGACAGGGGAGTCGGTTGCTCACTGCGAAGAAGTTTAACACCAAGGATGGCATTGAGAGCAGTAATTCGATCGCAGACGGGAAGCAGGATTAGTTCGTGCTGCATGACTTCTATTCTGGTGGTCATAGGGCAGCCGAGGATGAGTCTCATCGCTCTGTTTTGGATTTTCTTTATGCTTTGTTTCTCGCGCTGGGAGGCAACTACAAGGACAGGAGAGGCATAATCTATGACAGCTCTGACGATGGCAATGTACATGAGACGTAGGACCCTGACAGAGGCTCCTTTGAAGCTGTGAGTGAGGGACTGGAGGGGCCTCGTTCGTTGGCGGCACTGGGAGATGACGTGGGCGGCGACAGCGGAGGTCGTGGCTCTGGTAGTGGCTCGCACAGGTAGACCAAGGTACCTGTAGGTGCGTACTTGATCGATGTCTTGTCCTTGCAGAATCAGTGGTGTCTGACGCCGGAAGCGTGAGATGAACTTGGTTTTAGTGTGTGAGATGACTAG